TGTTTTCTAAAAAGACAAAATCACAGGGGGAGGGGGATTCCGTGATAGCATTAGCATATTTGCTTCAGACTTTATAATATCTGTGCAACTCTTTAGAGCGAAATTGTACAGAGTACAAAAACATGCATATTTTCAGCTTAATACAGTGTAGTTAGGAGCTAAAAAAAAGTTAGTCTCATTAGCCCATATGAGCCTCACTATGAAGCAGGTTGACCTTGAATCCTAACCCTTTGCCTTAGCCTCCCAAGTCCTGGGATTGTAGGCATATGCCACCATGCTGGACTAAGCTAAAAACTTGACTCTTTTTTTTTTTTTAATTGTTTTTTGAACATTTTAAAACATATTCTTCCACAATTTCATATATAATATACTTAGATCATGTTCCCCTCCATTATTTCTCTTACCCCCCCCACTGAACCCCTTCTCTTCCTCACAGATACCTTTTCTACTTTCAGTATTTCATTTTTTTGTGTACCCCACTGCATTTATTAGGGTTGCTTGCATTAACATGGACAGTGTTTATTTACTTGAGCAAATCCAACTTACCATTGACTACACCACTAAGAAATATAACTTCCTCTCCCCCAATAACCATTAGCTGCCTATGGTTCCTCAGGGTACGATAGGACCTTATGAGCTCCTTCCCCATCCATGTTGATGGGCCCATATTGTTTAGTTCTTGCATAGGTAATCTTGAGTGCATCAGCCATGTCATGTCTAGAAAATATTATTTCATAGCATTTCTTTCCATCCTCCAGATCTTGTTTGTTTGTTTGTTTGTTTGAGACAGGGTCTCTGTATCCTCAGCTGGCCTGGAACTCACTCTTGTAGACCAGGCTGGTCTAGAACTCTGCCTACCTCTGCCTTCCAAGTGCTGGGATTAACAGCCTGTACCATACCATCCAGCTTATTGAGTATAAACAAAAATATTTAGAAGGTAGTTGGATCTCATACCCATTTGACAAACCAACAGTAGTTAGTTACCTGTCTACTAGGACCTATGACTTCTCTAGACAAGAGCGTTCAACCAGGTATACAGTACCAAGCATGAAATCCCTCTTGTGGAATGGGCATCAACTCTAACCAGCAGGTAGTTGGTTACCCCAATAACTTTCATGCCACTATTGTTCCAGTTGGTAAATCTTGCCTGGCAGATTGGTATTATAGCTCACAACATTCATGGCTAGTTAAGATCATTGATATCTTTTCTTTCCCAGCATCCTGGATAATATCTTCCTGCACTATGAAAGCTAGCCATCAGGGAAGAGGCTTCCAGCCCACACTCCTCCCCCGCCCCTTCTTTGTGTAAACCAGGCTGGCCTCTCCCTCCTGAATGTTGGGATTAAAGGCCTGCACCACCACACCTGCCCAGCCCTTCTTTTTTTAGCATAGGGTCTCGAATATCCCAGGTTGACTTTGAACTCTGTGTAGCCAAGAATGACCTTGAACTTTTAGTTTATTTATTTATTTATTTATTTATTTATTTATTTATTTATTTTTTGGTCTTTTTGAGACAGGGACCCCCTGTACCCCAGCTGTCCTGGAACTCTCTGTGTAGACCAGGCTGGCCTTGAACTCAGAGCTTTGCC